ATAAATGTAAGAAGTCAATCAATCAATTGTTGACTTTTTTCTTTAGATTTAAATTTGTTACACACTTTAATCTTCCACTTGATAATTCTAACAGCCTAAGAGATTCCCCAGCAACACACCCACCGTAATTAAGGACTATTAGTGATCTTTTGTCAAATGCTGGACAACGCTGTTTCACAGCGGTAGGGCTATTCATGTTAATCTATATGTAATATTTTATGTCATTGCTATCAATAGCTGCATGTTAAATGGAACCTCCATCTTCAGCTATAGTATACTCTGAGTACCATGTACGAGGATGAATGCCAGGAAAAGGTCACCACCCTTGTGTCTTTTGTGGATGACATTCAAAGCAGGTGACTGGCTGCTTTTGGGAACAGACCTATTAGCCAGATCTTGATATGATCCATCACATTCATTTTTAACTGAGTGTGGAAAAGTTCCTTTTTTGGACCAGAGCTGCCCAGGTTCCTTCAACCACTGTAAGATTCTGGACACATCTGCTTGAGTCAGAAAACAGACCTGAGCTAACAGTATATAAGTGTAGTATACTATAAGGTGGAAGTGGAATCTGAAAGAGAGAGAGAGAGAGATCACCACTGCAGCCAAAGCAAATCAGAAAATGAAATTTGGGGGAAAGCGGAATACCCTAGGAAATGTTGTCAGTATATATATACCTTTTGGTTTTAAATGATGACTGATGCCCCAAAGCCATGTTTGGAATCTAGTGTAAAAGGGAGGGGGCCCTTCCTCCAGCATGACAACATTACTTCCGAAACACTGATTTAATGTTAACTCAGAGGAAAATAAGCCATTTATTGTGAGTCATCAGAAAAACAATCCCTCTTCATGTAAATGTTCCAGCTCGTTCATAGAAGAACAAGTGACATTAGGCTGAAGACAGTAATAAACTGCCACTATTTTACGTTTCTCTCAGGCCTCTAATATAGTGACTCATTCATTTGAGAGTTAATTTGCATCTTCGTTATATGACAGCCAGTGTTTGATTGGCAACAGGAGTTTATCAGCTCTCATCTTGGCTGATGTAGCTGGACAATTGCCTGGTTGGAGCAATAAATTCACCCCTTGGAGCATTAAAAAAGGAACATCTAATAATAAGGAATACCACACATTCAGGTCATTGTGAAGAAATCAGTAATTCCCAAATTGAACATTTTTATCTGTTCAATCAATTTGAACATAATTAGAATTCTCTTCTACACATGCCAATAGCAAAAGGAGATATTTTGGCCTAAATACAGTGACTAGTCCCAACTAGAACAGACCCACTGAACTGCGTCCTGAATGATTAATCAACACATATGTAAATCCAGTTAATTCATCAGGTTTGCTCCAGTTGCAACTAACAATTCAATTTTAGCCTGGATCTTTAAAAGGAAATATCAAATTTATGAGAGTAAGCTGGTCTTGTTACCTATTTGATCTCTGTATATTCAGAGTCCATTGCAGTGTGTGTAGGAATTCATTCATTTTTTTCAAATTATAATCCGGCCCTCCAACAGTTTGAGGGATTTTGACCCGGCCCTCTGTTTAAAAAGTTTGAGGACCCCTGGTATACACTATTGCACTGGAATAAGACAATAATCATTAAATCATTCCAGAAATACACCCTGAATCCCATTAAATGTATGTTAGGCATTGCTTTATATAAACATTATGATGCCATTTTTACAAATGCTATTCTCTAATAATCAATATTGGGTAGTAATCTGGATTTCCAAGGTCATAAAACCAGTCACTTAGCAACTTAGGGTGAATGTTGAAGATATCAGTGTGCATTTTCTTTTGATATTATTATTGGTATAGTTCACAACTATTTTATTTTTAATCCGTAATGAAGTATTTGCTATCATAATTGCTGTAAGCAGCTAAATTGTTTTACGCAGAGCTCTTTGTAGTTCGGTGAAAACTGCTACTGTTGTCCCTTTAAAGGGATTATGAAAATGAAGCGTATTATGTTTATTTATTTTTCTGCATAATGAAAAGATAAATGATCAGATTTGGGAGATAAAAAGGAACTCACATTTACTTTCTATTTTAAACATGAAAGGTTTGTTTTTTGCCCCCAAATGATTAATGGATTTACTTTTGCAGATAGTGAAGCAGTCTTCAAAACCTGAAAACATCTATTCTCCTATGTAAAGACTGCATCCACTTCAATTAAAAATTTACAGGTACTGTTTAGCAATCCATTAGTTCTCCATTTTATTAGCAAACGTACGCTTATCTGCTCACTGTCTGTAAAATGTATATAATCCAAAGCCACACTTACAATGGTCTCTCCTGTTCTTTTCCAGTATCTCTGTAAAAGGCAATTCTAAACACATTTACTTGGGAGTACATTTTAACAATCAGTGGGATGCAAGTCCAATAAATGTCTTCTGAACTGGGATGTCAGCATATGAATATTTACAAGAACGTTTCCACCATATGTTAAATAAAGCTAGGACTGAATTCCAGCCAGACGTTTAAAATCCCTTACTGACTCCAAGGAAATGTAACAAAATTTCACTTCAAATGAAATGCTAGCAAAATGAGGATATCCCCATTTAGTCAGGAACATCTTTTCTTCCTTGAAGAACAGGAATGTCTTATGAAAAAGAAAACATAAAAAAAAGACGAGAATGTAGACTATCTAAATCAGATACAATTACAGCAGTAGACAAATTGTATATTAAAATTCAGTCCAAGAGAAGACTTCAGTTTAACAGTTTTCTAAAACAGAAAAATATATTCATTATTTATCCCCTAAAAACTAAAAACTGCATTGAATACATCTATCATTGGGGAGTCTCCCAGTGAAAGAATGGCAATATGGATCAGTAGTACAGCTTTTCCGGTTGATCCTGCTTGCTCAATGTAGAGCTGTCAGCTTTCATCTTCTTCCCTAAAATAGCTCTTTATTTTAGTTGTAGCCACTGGTTGGAAAAACAATTATCTTTTCTGTTACAAGTGATTACAGTCTCAGATCAGTTATCAGACCAATATATGATTTGTAATGGCCACACTTAGGAATCCAAACCGGGATGGTTGATGTTTCAGACTAAAATGATCAAGGGTCTGGAGAACAAGCCCTATGAGGAGCGGCTTAAGGAGCTGGGTATGTTTAGCCTGAAGAAGAGAAGGATGAGAGGAGATATGATAGCCATGTATAAATATGTGAGAGGAAGCCACAGGGAGGAGGGAGCAAGCTTATTTACTGCTTCCATGGAGACTAGGACAAGGAACAATGGCTTCAAACTACAAGAGGAGATTCCATCTGAGCAAGAGGAAGAACTTCCTGACTGTGAGAGCTATTCAGCAGTGGAACTCTCTGCCCTGGAGTGGTGGCTCCTTCTTTGGAAGTTTTTAAACAGAGGCTGGATGGCCATCTGCAGTGGTGATTTGAATGCAATATTCCTGCTTCTTGGCAGGGGGTTGGACTGGATGGCCCATGAGGTCTCTTCCAACTCTTTGATTTTATGATTCTATGAATGTCAGTGTTTTTGAAATTTCATTTTCTAAGTTCAGTCTTTGTGTAGAAGGCCCTGGGGGCAGGACAACGGTCCATACTTTCATTTGGCAATTTGTACCAAACAACAATTAGCAGTTATGAATCACTGGCTGGTCACATCTTATAGTCATTTCATACATTAGACCAAACCAGGGTTCAATTAGTGTATCTGAACTTTAGTGCAATGTGCAAATTTTACCTATTTGTTTTTCATATTTTAGTGTAAAATCGTAACACCTTAAGACTGCAATCAAATGTTCAACATACTTCAAAAGCAAGACCCATTGAACTCTTAAAAATACATACTGAAGTATATACTAAGGAAAATCTACCCTGAAGATAATTTTACAAACTCCTATATATTTGATCATGATTTTCCTAATTATCACAGAAAGGTTTAAGGCACAACTGACAAAATAGATATTACAAATGAAGAGAACAATAGGCTTTGTTCTAAGAGGTGAACACTAGGATGGCTACATTTTAGCTTAAATTAATTTCAGCTTTCATGCTCCTCTGTTATTTCATTGTGGTGTAGATGAAACCCAGATTAACGCTTGGTGAACAAAGTTAAAAAGAAAGAGTGAGAGAGTGAAGCAACCTATATCTACATCTTTTTTTCTTTTTTGCATTGAACTGTGGCAGGAAATGCACAAACTAATCTGAGCATCATGGGAAAGGGAAATATTTCCAGTGACGATCGTTTTATGTCAAATGGGTTTTATTAGAGATGCCATCTCTATATGCCATATTAAAGGAGCTCTTTCTTCTCATTTCAAGATCTTAATCATAGTTTGTTGCTCCAATATTTTATTGGTTTGGGATACATGCTGTAAAATCCACAACCATCAAATTTCCCCATGAGCTAAAAATAAAGTGGCCATGTCAGATATAGTTAGTTGATAAAAAGCGTCAGTTCCTTCCTCCTGCCTCCCCTCCATTACTTTATACTCTGGATAACTTCCTGTTTATATGGCACTCTGACCCTTTTCTAATAAAGATCTTTTACCACTCACAGCAAGAAAAGATAGTGCACCAAGCGATTTCCTAATGGACAATGCTGACTACTTCGGAAAGCATTTAATATGTTTCCCATATTCAGAATGAACAGATGTCAGGGACCATGCCAAGTGAAATTGTGTTTTATGCAATCTTGGATTGTTGTACAGGAATAGCCCTTTCTGAACATGGGAAAAAATTACAGACCCAACCAATTTCCTTGACAGGGAAGAGTTACACATGTTTTCCACTCAGATGTTTTTTTTAAACAACAAATTTACAGTTTTGCCAAACCTGGAACTAATTGGAGCTGCGTCCAAAAAAAGAAAAAGGAGGAGGAGAGAGCGTATGACTAAAGTCTTTGTATGCACACTACATGATAGCTTCCTTTGTGTGAGTGTTTTTATAACAATAACAACAACAACAACATCCAATACAGGGAAAAGTTAGATTGCAATTTTTCCATTTATGTTACTTAAACACTTACTGTTTCATATCCTCCCAGTTTTTGAGCAGCTTGAAACATAGTCCAAAGGTTAACTGTTAGAGGGACAATAAGTATTTAGATAAGCATTGCATTAACCAACTTCTTTCAAAAAATGCAAATAAAACATTTTTTCTTTTACAATGAAGCAAAAAGATTACAATCACATACCAATAGAAAAACAACTCAATTTGCAAATAACATTTACATAATTCAGACAGCAAACACTGGCTTTGCACATACACTATTTCTTTTCTTAAAAGGGAAACGTTCCATTGAGATGCAGTTAGAAATATAAAGGAAGTTGTTATCACTGAGGTGAAAACATTTCCAGAATAACAAATGAACATAAGCCTTGGTTTATATGGTTTTTAGGTAAACTAACATATTTATTATTAAAAATGGAGGCGTTGTTTTTCCTTAATGTGATCTAATTGAAGTAGAAATAACTGGGAGTGTGTGCACAAAGCAGTCATTGATTAAACAACTGTTCATTGCCATTTAGATGAGACATTTTGGCTGGGATCCAGAGATGCTCTTTCACATGAGGAAAAAGATTTCAATTTGTGTGGAGCAAGGCAGCTTTTCCCATGCATGGAACCTAAAAGGTAGGGAAAATCAAGTCCAGGCTATATCCAGATATGCTAGACTACAGCTCCCATCTCCTCCAGCCAGCACAGCCCTTCCATCTTGGCTGGGATGAAGGTAGTAGCAGTACAACATGTCTGGGAAGGGGAATCCATGTGTGGATGGGAGCTCCTATAAGCCCAGCAGGAAATTCTGGGTCCTAGCTCTCTCACCAAACCTAGCTTTTATGGTTCTGTACTCTTCAATTTTTTTCTTTACATAAGTAACAAGACGTGGTACCGTTAGAATCAAGCTGGTGCTGTGTGAACACATGGCAATTTGTTCTATTGATCTGTGTGCAGGGTACATGGCCTCTAAATAATTCATGTACTTTAGACTATATAATGTATGTGAACATGCGGCTCAAAATGTAAGGTGCCTATAGGAAACACCTTCTAAGCATCATCAATTTATCTTCTTTTGAGATCTTTAAAATATATCATTGAAACTTTATTTTGATGGGCAAAATCCTAGAAGGCATATTGAAAGGTACATCACTTATTTTGCTCTCACTTGTGAAAATGAAAAATGTGAAATGTTTTCTCGCTGCAAGCAAATGTGAGACTTTTTTCTGTGTTTTTTACTTATTTTGGAACTTGTTCTACAAAAAATTGTGTTTTGTTATACAAAAAAAGTGGTTTTGCTTAAAATACCACAAGATATTTTTGTTCAAAAATCAAGGTTTCTTTTGGTATTCCTAGGAAAAAAACCCCTCACCTTTTATTGTCAAATATGGTTGAATAGTTTCATTACAATTGTTTGATGGAATGCCTTGACATACTGACCCTCCATATTTGAGTACAGGGACATTTGCAAATGTAGTTTACATACTTAAGGCCTCCTCTACAATGCCATATAATCCAGATTATCAAATCAGATACTCCATATTATCTGCTGTGAACTGAATGAGTCTACACTGCCATAAAATCCAGTTCAAAGCAGATCATCTGGATTTTATACAGCTCTGTAGAAGGGGCCCTACATGTGTTCATTTTACCTACATTATAGAAACTCCCGTTGAACCTTAGCAACTCCCATCAGCTGTAAAGGATTATAGGAACTCTAGTTCCAAACTTTTTGAAGGCTAAGGGTACCCACCATGGAATAAAATAAAATACAATGCCAGTCCATCCACTTATCTGGCATTTTCAAAAGCGGAGAGAATGTTTTTCTACTCTACAGCCCTTGTGCTCTAATTTGAATTTGTATTTTAGTTGAATTTGCTCAAAGGCAAACTCGTACCATGACTACCATCAGGCCCGTAGCCAGGATTTCGTTTCGGGGGGGGGGGGGGGGGGGGAATTTTTTTCAGGGGTTTTTTGGGGGGGGGCTGAGTTTCGGGGGGGCTGAGTCTGAGTGAAAGAGGGTCTAGCCTAGCAAACCTTTTGTATCATTACCCCAATACCCCCATGCATATGGGATATATTGATTATGGTGATCAGATCATGATATGAATAAACATAACAGTTTAAATAATGCACCAGTAAGGCCTTTTTGCGAACCACCATGAGAATTTCGGGGGGGGGGGCGCTGAAGCCCCTCAAGCCCCCCCCGGCTACATGCCTGACTACCATATTAATAAAGAGATGGAAAGACAGAAAGATAAATTGGGAAAGCAACATATCATACCATTGCCGCCTTTCCACCATAATGGAAATGAAGATAACATGGTACAATGGTTGGAACACTGCACTGGGATTTGGGAGAGCTATCTTAGACCCTGTCTACACTGCATATAATTCAGTTTCTGAATCCAGATTATCTGATTTGGGCTGGATTATATGGCAATGCAGGTTTATATAATTCCATTCAAAGGAGATAATCAGGATTCAGAAAATGGATTATATGGCTTCTGCCTTAGAAAGTAGCCAGATGATACAATGTTGTTGTAGCGATATAGGAGAGGGAAGGAATCCATCTGTGATATGTTGAAATCATTGGGGGAAAGGCAAGCTATAAATGTAACTAATAATAATAATGAATATTTTTTAAAAATTTCACTCAATGCCTCTCATTGTATTTCTAGAAATATCGTATTTTTTAAAAAAAGAATCGGAAAGTTCTAATTCTGTTGTTGATGAAGGTAATTTGAAAAAGACAATAAATATCTCTTTAAACCTCCTGAAGGAGAAGAAAACTTGGGGATTTACTACTGGGGGAGAAAACAGTGGCAGATAGGAAGGCACTCCAAAGGGTCACCACTTCTGCACAACGAATCTTTGGCTAGCCGAACTCTGTAGTTTGGCACTGATGTGGCACTGGGGACTGTGTGGTGGTGGTGGGGGTGTGGAGGGATGGGTGAGTTGTTCTGTGGTATGTGCGGGGGAAGGCATGTGATTTCATTGTGCAATAGCACAACCACAAAGCTATTCTGTTCTATATTATGACAACTACTTTGTCCTTTTCATGTCATCTGAACTTGCCTACCTCATGTTTCCAGTGTTACTGCTTTCCCTTCTATTATCCCGACTGCTCTATTTTGCATTTAAGCTTAGACTGGAATATAACTATGTCTACTACTGCTGATGCTGAAGGGAATATTTAATGAAGTAAATCTGACGGACATTATTGGATTGGCGGGCTTATGGACTTTTTGGTTAAAATATACAAAACACATTTAAGCACTCAGAGTGCTCAGTTTTATAGACATTTCAGAATGGTAGCTAAAATCTGCCCATTAAAAATAGTGTCTTATATGTGTGATAAAGAAAGTAAACCAGTCCTGCTACATATCTCAGTATTGCTTGATTATAATAACACACACTAAAGATATAATGTAGGCAGTGAGAAAAATCTTTTAACATGATTGTACTTTACTGCAAGATATTTATTTACTTAGATATGGAGGATTTATGTTTTACTGATTTTATTGTTTATGGAATTTTAAGGATTTTATATGCTTTTAACTGTTTATATTATTGTGGCATCGAATTGTGCCGGGTTTGTAAACCACCCTGAGTCGCCCTCGGGCTGAGAAGGCGGTATAGAAATATAGTAAATAAATAAATAAATAAATATTTACTCTTTAAAACATGTTTACATTGTTTTCATTCAATTTGTTGCTTTACTTTTCCTATCTTTTTTCTATTACAGTGAGTGATATACACTCACACAGATGTCTAGGAATAAATCCCATTTAACTGAAAAAGCTTACTTCTGAGTAGACTCATTGAAGGTCAAGACTGCACTGCAAGTTTTAAATAAAGAGGTAAAACTACTACTTTTCAAAGCATGTTTATAGTGCTGTGTAATAAGAAATATGCATAATTCAGTATAGGTTTGACCGCCTTTTGCCCCCTTCTACCCTATCTTACTGAGTAATTGCATCACAATACTATGGGCAGCTCCTTTTATTGCCCTGCTGGAATTGGCTCTAAATATTATATATATTACAGTGTTAGCTAGTGAGTAGCACTCATTATTGAACCAGTGAGCACAGCAAAGACATGTCCGTACCATATACATGTTTACTAACAAGTAATTGTGCTGTCTAAAATTATTCTTTTGAATCAGTGCAGTCTTTACAAATGTCAAGGCAGACAAACACTGTAAGTAATGCCAGCCATTTTACGAACAATTAAGTTACTCTTGAGTAATCTTCCCCTAAAGCATATGCAGCACTTAAAATATTTGCAGGACTAGTTAGATAGTGTGGCATATTAATGAATATCAAGCAATCTAGTGTGTCTCAGCTCAGTGTTGAAGAATGAGCTCATCTGAAAACTGGTTAATTGAGATCCAATAGATTTCTCCTTCACCACAACCACTCCCTGCTTTGTGAAATGTGTTCCTTTATTACAGACATGAAACCAAAAGAAATACATTTAATTAAACACAGGCACACAGCTCAAAACATTCAAAATGAAAAGCCTCACTGAACTTTGTACTCTCCTCTTAGCTATCAAGAGCTTTGCTCAGGCCTTGATGTAATCGGAATCAAATGCATAATGCAACAAAGCTGTTCATAGTACATTAATTTTACTTCTATTTCAAGCAGCTGGTTTTTCAGGCAAACATTGTAATCATTCTGGAGTTATATAAGTTTTTAATGGCTGCTAGAGGTCTGTTGCAATCAGTCAATTGCTATTAGGTATGTAAATTGTTATGTAAAACATACAGGTTTGACATTTCTCATCAAAATAACACACGGCTTTAATCTGTAGCAATAGGTTTGGGTAGGTAATATTTCCAGGTAAGGCATTCTCCCTTTAGAATAATTTAAATACCTTACAGATATTAAAAACACAGCCTTGTATATCGTTTGCAGTGTTCATTCTTTCATGCTTATGCAGAATTTAATTACTGTGCATGTTCTCTATCAATTATTGCATTATAAACAGTGACACTCAGAAGTGCTCATTCCAAAGCATTTTATTGCTCTCTGTGTTTAAATAAGCTGTGTCTACTTTTATATTCAGTTAATTATGATCTGTGGACCCTGTGACCTCCCATTTTTAATTTCTAGCCATCTTAAATTTTTCCCTTAATATCTGTGCCATTTCTTTTTTCTCGTCTCAAGTAACATCTGGGTAAAATAAAACGATGCCTTATTATAATTCAAAGAAAGAGATTAGCTGCAGGGTAGTAAGGGAGGGAAAAAGCAGAAACCTTATAAACATGTCTATTTCTGGTCACTGGCTGAGTATTTCAAAACTATAACACTGCCTTCCTATACTCAGAAGTAAGTTCAATGGGGTTTACTCTTAGGCAATTGCATATATGATTGCAGAAAATGCCCAGATGGGAGATATACTGCAACACTCGGGATGAATTGCATTGAAAATTCTACTTACTTTGCTTAAAACCGAGGTAGGGTATCCGTTCAATTGGTGTTTTTCTTTCTTTCATGTATTTATAAAGTGCCACAAGGAATGCCTGTTCATCTGCTTGGAATTCATTGCCTGCAGAAGCCTTGGATTTATTCTCATTTGAGCCCTTTTTACAGTTGCTGTTGTTATTTTTGGTTTTGGGCAAAGGCAATTTAGCCTCACATTTTATCTGAAAGAAAAGAGGCGATGCCAGGTTAGATCAGGAACACTGTCTGATCCAGCTTTCATTCCTATTTCAGAGATAAAACCCCTCTGACCTATCCTCTTTTTCTCAGAAGGTCAAGCTGTATATTTTCTTGTTCTTTGTTTAGCATTAAAGCTTTTTCTTTGCACTTTAGTTACAATATCCCCCAGTTGTCAAATATAGACAGACTTGCAACACAAAGAGAGGAGATATGAGCTCTACAGTTTGTTTGAGATACACACAGATTCTCCCCTTCTACGTGGCCACCACTCTGTCAGTGCACCAATAAGTGTCCTGCACACTACCATACCTTTACATTTTAAAGTGACCCATCCCCACACACTTCAAAAAGATCTCAGTATGAATGAGCAAGCAGAGAGGTGGCCAGCCAAGTCCACACATTTCACCAGCAGGTATTGCTTTGCTCATGGGGTGCATTCAAACACTGATTGGGTTGCATGGTAGCACAGCACTGTTTGGAGAACAAGTGAGCCCTAAGTTAAGCTATTGTCTTCAGGAGTGACATTGGATATTATTCTACCACCAAACATTGAGATCATATTCAGATGCTCTTTGGCAGCATCCTATGTTGAGCCAGCCCTCGTGAAGTAGTCAATGTTCAAGAGCAGAGGGAAAGGGCAGTGTGCTAGCACGGCTGTGCTAGGAGATTTGAATTTCTTTTTCTTGCACTGTTAGTTTGCATGAATCTACTCAAGCTATGCTTTTTTGCAATCAGGTGGCTTCCCCAGGTTGCAATCATAGGGCCAACAACCTATCAATCATCGTTAGAGCCTTTAGATCCTTCCCTTTCCCCAGGTTTTGGAGGGAAAAGGGGACTTTTCATTCAGTCTCACAGTCTGAAGCCTTATAGTAGGATGTGTGGACTTTTCTCTACCCCACCTGTAAAAAGCTTTGCTTCTTACAGCTCAATCGGGGTCAAAGAAATAGATCTACAACCAGCTTTTGGTGGGGAAAAAGGAAAACCTCTACAGCTTTGCTGGGGAGTAAAGTTACAGTTCCACAGCTTTGCTAGAGGAATACAGCCAGCCTTTGCTGGGCAAATAAATAGTTCCTACAGCCTTCATGGAGAAACTAAAAGGACACCAGCTTGGCAGAACTGCAGCAACCATTGCCTGGTAAAGGACCACTCGGGCTATCCATAACGCAGCTTGGAGCCGGGAGTTGGGGCCTCATACCAGCAGGGTTAAGAAAGATTGCCCAAGGAGGGGTCATGAGGTTTCCCTAAAGAGGAAAGGAACGGTTCATCAAGCAGTTGCCTGTCCCCTGTCGGCAGATCGAGAAAGCTACCAGTTTATATGGCATTTTATTCATTTGTTCGAAGATTTAAGCCTTAATAAAGAACTTTGTTGGACTTATTTTGAGCCTCTACAGAACTTTGTTTTGGGAAACCTGTGGGACCCTTTAGCCGAGGCACCCCGGCATCCCATTGGGCATACAGAAAGCACGTCCTATAAACAGACGTTGTCATAGGCCCAGCGTGTGACAGCACAGGCAGGCTTAGCATTCATTCCAAGAGGAATTCCCAAGAACATGACTTTCCTTTCCTACCAATCATTTCTATGGTAGAAACCTAAAAATCCTCACTGATATTAGAAGGCCAGGCCTTGAACAGCAGAAACTTCATGGGAAAAATAGTTCAGAGGAGGATTATACAAACATGGTGCAGAAAAGACAACATCTATTTCCTGTATTACCCTAAGAAAAATGCACTTATATATATAGCAATCAAAAATGGCAATATGCAAGATTTTTTTAAATACACAGCTTACATTTGTAACAGAAAAGATGATACAACTGTACACATTTCAACAGAAACAAAACATGTCCAACTGTTCTATCAGATATATTTATAAAACTATTATCCAATTATATATGCCCTCTTTCTGAACTTATTTTGGTTTGCGGGATTACCAATAAAGGAAATGTGGAATGCTAACTTTTTCACTTTTTAAAAAGACTAGCGCTCCCCTGCCATGCGTTGCTGTGGCCCAGTCTAGTGATCTGGAAAATAAAGTAACGAGAAAGTGTTGGTTTCTAATATATGTAATGTCTTTATGTTTGTGGGTAAACAAGTATTTCTTGCTGTTTCTTTGCCAATGTTGATGTGGAGATTGTCTGGTTTGCCTACTCTGGAACATATCATTGTCCTTCTTTAGGGGTCCCTTTCAAATCTATGATACTGCATCTGTCATATACATATATGTGTGTGTATGAATGGCTGGATGGCCCTTTGTCAGGAGGGCTTTGATTATGTTTTCTTGCCCTGGTGAAGGGAGTTGGACTGGATGGCCTTAAGGCAGCATTTCTCAACCTGGGAAGTCAAGACCCCTGGGGGGGGGTCACCAGGGGGGTGTCAGAAGGGTCACCAAAGACCACCAGAAAACACAGTATTTTCTGTTGGTCATGAGGGTTCTGTGTGGGATGTTTGGCCCAATTCTATCATTGGTGGGGTTCAGAATGCTCCTTGATTGTAGGTGAACTATAAATCCCAGTAACTACAACTCCCAAATGTCAAGGTCTATTCCCCAAAACTCCATCTGTGTTTATATTTGGGCATATGGAGTATTTGTGCCAAGTTTGGTCAAGATCCATCATTGTTTGAGTCCACAGTGCTCTCTAGATGTAGGTGTACTACAACTCTAAAACTCAAGGTCAATGCCCACCAAACCCTTCTAGTGTTTTCTGTTGCTCATGGGAGTCCTGTGTGCCAAGTTCGGTTCAATTCCATCGTTGGGGGAGTTCAGAATGCTCTTTGATTATAGGTGAACTATAAATCCCAGCAACTACAACTCCCAAATGACAAAATTATAATTTTTGAGTTATGGTCACTCCTTGTGTTGTGTGGCATTTTGTTGCCAAATTTGGTGTGATTTCGTTCATTGGTTCTTTTGTTTTTAAGGTACTCATTATGCACAGAGCATTTATAGATAGATAGATAGATAGATAGATAGATAGATAGATAGACAGACAGACAGACAGACAGACAGACAGACAGACAGACAGACAGATAGATACAAAGTGATCCTATACATTCTTGTGTATAAAGCTTTCATCAAACTAAACTTAACTAAATGTTAAACCTGCACAATGCACTGATACTAAAAAAATAATTCATAATTTATAATTCATCATTAGTGTGATATTATTTGTAATCAGATACTCTGGTTACTATTTGAATACTTCTGGATATGCCTTCTTAAAAATGATGGCTATGTAATGAAATGAACAGCCCCAGGCCACACTATGACTATTGTTGGGACCAGTCATTGCACCTTAACCATTTTCCTGCCCCCCATGAACTAGCCTCGGCCCAGCCCTCCTAAATTACCTGGCCCATTCTGAAATTCTGGCCCTAACAGGTTATTTTGCATGGAAGAATATTGGGGGATTGGTCTTTTAATTAATGCATACGTGTGTTTGTATTTTATGCCTATGTTTTAGCTTACTGTGTAAGTTTTTGGTGTACTTTGCCTACATGGAAACCACCCTGAGTCCCCTAGGGGAGATGGAGCGGTATATAAAGTATTATTATTATTATTATTATTATTATTATTATTATTATTATTATTATTATTCTGACACAAAAGCACAGTATGTCACAGCAAATGAGATCTATATGCTGGATTTCGTATCACAAAATCACAAGTCGAACACTTCCCAAGTGTCTAGGACTGTGTGATGTATTTTCGAATGATGCGCGCAGATCCAAGTAAGGTGGCCTTTTGCAGTTGACAGATCATGATTTTGTCATTGTTGGTTGTTTCCAAATGACAGCTGAGATCTTTTGGCACGGCATCCAGTGTGCCAATGACCATTGGGACCACCTGTATTGGTTTATGCCAGAGTCTTTGCAGTTCGATTTTGAGGTCTTGATAGCGTCTGAGTTTTTCCTCTTGTTTTTCCTCAATGCGACTGTCACCCGGTATGGTGACATCAATAATCCAGACTTTTTTCTTTTCCACAATTGTGATGTCTGGTGTATTGTGTTCCAAAACTTTGTCAGTCTGGATTCGAAAGTCCCACAGTATTTTGCATGTTCATTTTCCATGACCTTTGCGGGTTTATGATCCCACCAATTCTTTGTTGCTGGCAGGTGGTACTTGTGACATAAGTTCCAGTGAATCATCTGGGCCACAGAGTTGTGTCTTTGTAGTCCGTCTGTGCGATTTTCTTGCAACAGCTGAGGAGATGGTCCATGGTTTCATCAGCTTTCTTGCACAGTCTGCATTTTGGGTCATCAGCTGATTTTTCAATCCTGGCCTTAATTGCATTTGTTCTGATGGCTTGCTCCTGGGCGGCAAGAATCAGGTCTTCTTCTGTCTCCTTCTTCAGTGTTCCATTCATGAACCATAACCAGGTCTTCTCCTTGTCAACTTTTCCTTCAATCTTCTCAAGGAACTGCCCATGCAAGGCTCCGTTGTGCCAGCTGTCAGCTCTGGTTTGGAGTGCAGTTTTCTTTGTCTGTTGTGCTTTGAGAAGTTTCCAATTATGGACTTCAATTATTATTATTATTATTATTATTATTATTATTATTATTTTAAATAAAGGTTTCCTGTACAGTAACGTTTTGGGGATGTAGATCGGAAAGAATCCAAGGTATATCCTCCATCCATCCAAAATGGAAACTAGAAGACATGATTAGGAAACCCTCTTTTAAAAATAACAACCACATTTTCTTACAAAATGCCAAATCTTGTTTTTTATACCATTGCATACAAATATCGACATGCATGGGTAGCTAGAATAGACCCATCAGAAAAGCGGGGGGGGGGGGGGGGGGGGGATATATTAAAGCAAACGAATCCCAAGATCAATGAACAATTTGACTTTGGGGAATCAGAAGAAAAGGTGCCTGGTTTTGACCAAGACTATACTAGTAAAAGGGCTACAGAGACCAGGCTATCTCCTATAGCGTTTACTTGGAATCAGATTTGTAGGGATCTGCATGATTTGGTATGAGTCTT